TAACATCCCCCCCAAAAAAAATCCCACCAGGCAGCAATCAGCCAGGCTTCGAAGCTACAAGGCCATTAAATGTTAATCTTGCCTTCAACAGACAAGAGTGCTTTCTCCCAAATTGGGAGATATATATATAGGTATATATATACCTATATATAGGTATATAGTTTCAATTTGCCACCTTGATAAGCATTTAATGGACTCGCAGCTTCATAGCCTGGCTGGTTGCTGCCAGGTGGGAATCCTTTGTTTCCACAGATATATAAACCCCACTTGCCTCAATTCCAACAGACCTCACAACCTCTGAGGATGCCTGACATAAATACGGGCAAAATGTCAGGAGGGAATGCTTCCAGAAGCATTCTCTCCTGACATTTCACCCACATCTATGGCAGGCATTCTCAGATGTGGGCAAAACGTCAGGAGAACATGGCTCTAGAGCCCAGAAAACACAGCAACCCAATGATTCGGGCCACGAAAGCCTTCAACAAGACAAGTCTTATCTATCCAAACCAAAACAAAGCATCTGTAACATAGTCAGACAGGCCGGAAAACTCACAGCAACCCTTTGACAACATATTATTATTACTATTAGTATTCCTTCAGTGCCAAGGATCAAAGGGAATGCCAATTAATACTACTACTATTATTATTCCTTCGCTACCTAGTGTCAAGAGGAATATTTAGTTATTATTCTGACAACAAAATCGAATAGGGGGTTAATAAGATAACCAGGAATGCCAATGAGAGAGAAACCTCATATTAAACAACCAACCATCCTTTATAAATATTCCGAATTATTATTAGTATTAATATAATTATTATATCATATTATATTAATATATTATTATTAATATAAAGTAAAAGTATAGGTTTTCCCCTGATGTTAAGTCTAGTCAAGTCCGACTTTGGGGGGGGGGGGGGGCTCACCTCCATTTTTAAGCTGAAGAGCTGGTGTTGTCCATAGACGCCTCCAAGGTCAAGTGGCCAGCATGACTGTATGGAGCGCCACTGCCTTCCTGCCAAAGCAGTACCTATCGGTCTACTCACATTTGCATGTTTTCAAATTGCTAGGTTGGCAGGAGCTGGGGCTAACAGCAGGAGCTCACCCCGCTCCCCAAATTCGAACCGCCCACCTTTCAGTCAGCAAGTTCAGCAGCTCAACGCCGCCAGGGGGCCCCTTCAGAATTATTATTATTTATATATTATTAATCATAATATAATTATATTATCAGAATTATTAGTTATATGTAATTATTACTAATATAATTATTATATTACATTATTATCAGAATTATTATTATTAATTATATTATTAATGTAATTATAATATATCAAACCCTAAAATAATATAATAATATATTACTATTACTATCCCTTCACAATTATGCAAATTGTTACGCTGGCAGTGAATTCAAGGGAAGATGCACGGGAGGGGGCGATGCAAAGAAACTGCCAATATAGTGAGATTAGTCTTATTAATTAGATAATAATAATCAGATTATTCGTAATATAAATATTATAATATATTACATTGATATAATATTTTTTCATGTCAGGAGTGATGTGAGAAACTGCATAATATAATATATAATTATTAATAACAATATAATAATAATATATTATTAACATCCCTTCCCATTATTCTTATTACTGTGCTGACAGCAATTCAAATGAAGGTGTAGGGGAGGGGGTAATGCAAAGAAAATGCCAATAGTAGTCACATTATTATTATTATTATTATTATTATTATTATATCCCTTCACTGCCTATGATGCTTATTGTTATGCTGACAATAAGGTGGAGAGGAGGGGAAATGCAAAGAAAGTTCCAATATTTGTCTCATTAATTAGATATTAATAAATATATTCTTATTAATATCTCTTCACTGCTTATGACGCTTATTGTTATGCTGATAGGAAATTCAAATGAAGGTGGAAGGCATGGGGGCAATGCAAATAAATTGCCAATAAAGTCATATTAGTCTTATTAATTAGATAATATATTGTATTATTGTATTATATTGTTAATAATTATTATAATGTATTACATGTAATATTACTAATAACATCACAATATAATGGATAGCGCAATATAGTAATATATAATACTGCTATTGTACTATGCTAATAATATAATTGCAAAGAAACTGCTAATATTAGTAACATTAAATAGATATTAATAGATAATATATTATTATGAATATCCCCTCAATGCCTATGAGGGTTATTGTTATGCTGATTTTAATATATATATATATTTTTCTATCAGGAGCGACGCGAGAAACTGCATAATAATATAATATAATAATAAAGAATGGAAAGACTTACAATAATACAATAATAACTTCCTAATAATAATATAAAATAATAATATTAATATCCCTATTATGCTTATTATTGTGCTGACAGCCAATTGAAATGAAGATAGAGGGGAGAGGGGCACTGCAAAGAAACTGCTAAAATTCATCACATTAAATAGATATTAATAGATAATATTATGAATATCCCTTCAATGCCTATGAGGGTTATTGTTATGCTGATATTAATATATTTTTTGTTTCAGGAGAGACGTGAGAAACTGCATGATAATATAATATAATTATATATCCTTATTAATAAAATAATAAAATAATAACAATATCCTAATAATAATATAATAATAAATCTTTTAAAATATAATATAACATAATAATATCCTAATAATAATAATATTAATATCACTATTATGTTTATTATTGTGCTGACAGCCAATTCAAATGAAGGTGGAGGGGAGGGGGGCATTGCAAAGAAACTGCTAATATTAGTCACAATAAATAGATATTAATAGATAATATATTATTATGAATATCCCTTCAATGCCTATGAGGGTTATTGTAATGCTGATATTAATATATATATATATGTGTGTGTGTGTGTCAGGAGTGATGTGAGAAACTGCATAATCATATAATACAATATAATATAATATAATAATAAAGAATTCAGCCAATTCAAATGAAGGTGGAGGGGAGGGGGGCACTGCAAAGAAACTGTTAATATTAGTCTCATTGAATGGATATTAATAGATGATATATTATTATGAATATCCCTTCACTACCTATGATAGTTATTGTTATGCTGATATTAATATTTTTTGTGTCTGGAGTGACTTGAGAAACTGTATAATAATATAATATTAAATCCTTATTAATAATAATATATTACATAATAACAATATCCTAATAATAATAATATAAATCCTTATTAATAATAATATAATAAAATAACAATATCCTAATTATAATATAATAATAATTCTTTATTAATAATATAATATAACATAACAATATCCTAATAATAATAATAATACAAAATAATATTAATATCACTAATATGTTTATTATTGTGCTGACAGCCAATTCAAATGAAGGTGGAGGGGAGGAGGGCATTGCAAAGGAACTGCTAATATTAGTCACATTAAATAGATATTAATAGATAATATTATGAATATCCCTTCAATGCCTATGATAGTTATTGTTATGCTGATTTTAATATATATATATATTTTGTGTCAGGAGCAACGTGAGAAACTGCATCATAATATAATAATAAAGAATTCAGCTAATTCAAATGAAGGTGGAGGGGAGGGGGGCATTGCAAAGAAACTGCTAATATTAGTCACATTAAATAGATATTAATAGATAATAACATGAATATCCCTTCAATGCCTATGATAGTTATAGTTATGCTGATATTAATATATTTTTGTGTCAGGAGCGACTTGAGAAACTGCATCATAATAACATAATAATAATATCCAAATAATAATAATAATAAAACATAATATTAATATCCCTATGATGCTTATTATTGTGCTGACAGCCAATTGAAATGAAGATAGAGGGGAGAGGAGGCATTTCAAAGAAACTGCTAATATTTGTCACATTAAATACATATTAATATATTATGAATATCCCTTCAATGCCTATGATAGTTATTGTTATGCTGATATTAATATATTTTTGAGTGACATGAGAAACTGCATAATAATATAATATAATATAATAAAATAATAATATCCTAATAATAGTAATAATATAATAAATCTTCCTATTATGCTTATTATTGTGCTGACAGCCAATTGAAATGAAGATAGAGGGGAGGGGGCATTGCAAAGAAACTGCTAATATTAGTCACATTGAATAGATATTAATAGATAACATATTATTATGAATATCCCTTCAATGCCTATGATAGTTATTTTTATGCTGATATTAATGTATTTTTTGTATAAGGAGTGACTTGAGAAACTGCATCATAATATAATATAATAATAAAGAATGGCAAGACTTACAATAATAATATAATAAAATACATAATATATTATTATGAATATCCCTTCAATGCCTATGATAGTTACTGTTATGCTGATATTAATATATTTTTGTGTGAGGAGCGACTCGAGAAACTGCATAATAAAATAAAATAATAATAAAGAGTGGCAAGACTTACAATAATAATATCATAAAATAATATGAATATCCCTATTACGCTTATTATTATGCTGACAGCCAATTGAAATGAAGATAGAGGGGAGGGGGGGGGCATTCCAAAGAAACTGACAATACAGTCATATGAGTCTTATTAATTAGATCATAGAATCAAAGAGTTGGAAGAGACCTCCTGGGCCATCCAGTCCAACCCCATTCTGCCAAGAAGCAGGAATACTGCATTCAAAGCACCCCTGACAGATGGCCATCCAGCCCGTTTTGCAATGTGATTAATTAGGCATTCATCACCATCAGACAAGGGTGGGAATGGCATTTGCAAGTGATGACGTCATGGGACTCCCCCAAAGCTCAGACTTCTTTCTCTCCCCCAATCCAATTTGAACAATATAATAATGAGGAGGAGATTGGGGGGAAAGGTGGGGAAGTGCTCCCCATTTGGGAAGGAGGGGGGGAAATAGGTGCAACCCCTCCCTCCGCATCTGATCCGGGTTGACTCCGGAGTGACTCCACTTACCACGTGCTTTCTGTTGTTGCTGCGCTTGCCATTCCAGGAACCGGGCCGCTTCTAGCAAGGTCTCAATGCTCATTTCTCGGGGTGGGAGTCCCAAAAGGAGGAGCAGTAGCAGGAGAGTGGGGGCAGTCTGAGGATCCCAAAATATATATATATAAGGAAAAATATATAAATATAGATAGATAGGTATATCTCTCTGTCTCGAATGTGCAAAGAAGGGCTTGGCTTGTTCTGCCAAAGAGGGTCCCTATTGCTGCTGCTGCTGTTGTGGTTCTTCTGGAGGGGAGAGAGCACGCCAATCCGGGCTGAAGCCAAGCCTTTTTGGCCCCTTCCGGCCCCCGTTTCCGCGGCCCCCTCCCACCCGACCAGAAGAAGGCTTTGTAACAAGATGGCGATGCGTAACAGAAACACAACAAGAGAGGGAGAGAGGGAGAGACACGGCCCTCTGCTACTATCCCCGCGGGGGGAAGCAAAACCCGGACTGGACTCCTCCTCTCTAATTCCTCTCAGCCGTTGATGCTTTGAGAGCTGAGTCAGGCAACACATGAGGCTTATCCAATTGGTTCAATTGGTTCCCTCTCGCCTCGCGCCGCTGTTTCTTCACCTCCCGTCGCTTTGGTTTAAATCACCCATTCCGGGGAGTTCCAACTCCGGGTTTTGCCCCCGATCCTCCCCCCCGCACTGCGTCCGCGTGCTGCTCAATGACGTCACCCGCTTCCTGGCCAATGGCGTGACAGGACAACAAGGCATGGAGCAGCTCCACATGGGCACTCTCCGCCGCGGGCCACCGCCGGCGCCTCTCTTAAAGGGACAGGACACCTCAAGTCGCGCCCTGGTTCTCTTCCCTTCCCTTCTTTTGTTCTACTTACTTCGCTGCTTAGGCTCCTCCTCCTTCGCTTCGTCCTTCTGGCCTTATTTGCATGAAGCAACTCAAGCCCCGCCCGCTTTCCCTCAAGCGTGAGGAGTGCGAGGCAAGGCTTAGCTCCTCCCCCTGCTGGTGTGAGGAAATGCGGCCTCCTTTGCATGAAGCGCCTCAAGCCACGCCCTCTTTTCCTCAGCGCGTGCTTGTCTTGAGCGCCGCCCAACCGCCTCGCGCTCTTTCCACTCCTGATTGGCGGAAGTGCGGCCTTATTTGCATGAAGCCCCTCAAGCCACGCCCTCTTTTCCTCAGCGCGTGCTTTTCTTGTGCTCCGCCCAACCGCCTCGCGCTCTTCCCCCTGCTGATTGGCGGAAGTGCGGCCTCATTTGCATGAAGCCTCTCAAGCCACGCCTCTTTTCATCAGACGCAGGGCTGATGTGCTCTGCCCACTCTCCTTGCGCCTCTCCCCCTGCTGATTGGAGGAAGGTGTGGGCTTATTTGCGTGAAGCCCCCTCAAGCCACGCCCTCTTTTCCACTCAGACGCAGGGCTTATTTTATGCTCCGTCCACTCTCCTTGCGCTCTTCCCCCTGCTGATTGGAGGTAGTGCTCTCTCATTTGCATGAAGCGCCCTCTTTTCCACTCAGACGCAGAGCTTGCTTATGCTCCGCCCAACCGCCTCGCGCTCTTCTCCCTGCTGATTGGAGGAAGTGCGGCCTCATTTGCATGAAGCCCCTCAAGCCACGCCCTTTTTCCTCAGCGCGTGCTTGTCTTATGCTCCGCCCAACCGCCTCGCGCTCTTTCCAATCCTGATTGGCGGAAGTGCAGCCTCATTTGGATGAAGCCCCTCAAGCCACGCCCTCTTTTCGTCAGACGCAGGGCTTATCTTATGCTCCGCCCACTCTCCTTGGCCCCTCCCCCTGCTGATTGGAGGAAGTGCTACGCCCTCTTTTCAAGCTGCGCCCTCTTTTCCACTCAGCGCGTGCTTGTCTAATGCCCCGCCCAACCGCCTCGCGCTCTTCCCCCTGCTGATTGGAGGAAGTGCGGCCTCATCTGCATGAAGCTCCCTCAAGCCACGCCCTCTTTTCCACTCAGACTCAGGGCTTACCTTATGCTCCGCCCACTCTCCTTGCGCCCCTCCCCCTGCTGATTGGAGGAAGTGCTAGCACCCTCAAGCCCTGCCTTCTTCCCCCCAGAGCGTGGCGAGTAGGAGGCGGGGCTTGTCTTATGCCCCGCCCACCTCGCTCTATTCCCCCTGTTGATTTGAGGAAGAGCGGTCTCATTTGCATGAAGCCCCTCAAGCCACGCCCTCTTTTCCTCAGACGCTGGGTTTATCTTATGCTCAGCCCACCCGCCTCTTCCCTCTATTGATTTGAGGAAATGCTATCTCATTTGCATGAAGCCCCCCAAGCCCCGCCCTCTTTCCCTCAGAGCATGCTTGCCTTATGCCCCGCCCACCCACCGCTCCCTCTTCCCTCTACTGATTTGAGGAAATGCTATCTCGTTTGCATGAAGCACCCTCAAGCCCCGCCCTTTCCTTCAGTGTGTGCTGAGTAGGAAGCCGGGCTTGTCTTATGCTCCTCCCACGCGCCTCTCCCCCCTACTGATTTGAGGAAGTGCTGCCTCATTTGCATGAAGCCCCTCAAGCCACGCCCTCTTTCCCCAGAGCGTGCTGAGTAGGACGCAGGTCTTATCTTATTGTAGGAACTGAGACCTCATTTGCATGAAGCCCTTCAAGCCCCGCCTTCCTTCCCCAGAGCGTGCTGAGTGGGAGGCGGGGCTTGAATTGTGCCCCGCCCACTCGCCTCGCGCGAGGCAAGGGTGGAGCCATCTGGGACAATCTGTCTAGTCATGGCCGGGTGGGAAGTCAGGAGGCAGCAGGCGCTCTTAAAGGGGCCGCGCCCTATTTCCCTTCCTTAAAGGAGCCGCGCCCTATTTCCGGAGGGAGGGGGGAAGGAGTAAGCACGTGAATCCGGAATGCGTGATAAGGAGGGGGGGGGGGGGAAAGGAATGTGTGCAGCAAAACAGGAAAGGCGGTTTTTGTTGAGTGTGGGTTACCTCCTGTGGCGTCAGATGAGATCACAGGCAAAACAGTCCAGATCCCAATTGCCTTTGCAGGAAAAAAAGGCAAGTTGATTGCTGGAGAGAATTTGGGTCCCCTGGAAAGAAAACGTCATCATATTTGCCGTTATAATTGCAAAAATAATATACATAACAAATAAAATAAGCACAATAGTAATAATTACAACAATAAGAATTGCAATAATTACAAAAAGAATTGCAATAGTTACAATTACAAGGATTTCAATAATAATTACAATAAGAATTGCAATATTAATAATTACAATCATAATTACAATAATAAGAATTGCAATAATTACAGTAAGAATTACAATAAGAATTGCAGTAATAATTACAATAAGAATTGCAACAATAATAACGATAAGAATTCCAATTAGAATTGCAATAATAATTACAATAATAATTGCAATAATTACCAGAATAAGAATTGCAATACTTACAATAAGAATTACAATAAGAATTGCAATAATAATAATAATTACAATAATAATTCTAATAAGATAAGGTCGATCTCAGAAGGTGTTGTTGGGGGACACCTGTTCAACCCCACAACCATTGTCTTGTGGGGTTCCTCAGGGCTCAATATTGTCTCCCATGTTGTTTAACATCTACATGAAGCCGCTGGGGGAGATCATCCGGAGTTTCGGGGTACGGTGTCATCTGTACGCGGATGATGTCCAACTCTGTCACTCCTTTCCACCTGCTACTAAGGAGGCTGTCCAGGTCCTGAACCGGTGCTTGGCCGCTGTGACGGTCTGGATGAGGGCGAACAAATTGAAATTGAATCCAGACAAGACAGAGGTACTCATGGTCAGTCGCAAGGCCGAACAGGGCATAGGGTTACAGCCTGTGTTGGATGGGGCCGCATATACTGAAGACGCAGGTTCGCAGCTTGGGGTGTGACCCTGGACTCATCGCTGAGCCTGGAACCCCAGGTTTCGGCGGTGACCAGGGGAGCATTTGCACAGATAAAGCTTGTGCGCCAGCTGCGCCCGTACCTTGGGAAGTCTGACTTGGCCACGGTAGTCCACGCTCTGGTTACATCCCGTTTAGACTACTGCAACGCTCTCTACGTGGGGTTGCCTTTGAAGACAGCTCGGAAGCTCCAACTACTCCAACGCTCGGCAGCCATGATTTTAACAGGAGCGGAGAGCGGTACCTATTGATCTACTCCTGTTGCGCCAACTCCACTGGCTACCGATCTGCTACCGGGCTGAATTCAAAGTGCTGGCGTTGGCCTTTAAAGCCCTAAACGGTTCCGGCCCAAGATACCTATCTGACCGCATCTCTGCCTATGAACCCACCAGGACTTTGAGATCTTCCGGGGAGACCCGGCTCTCGATCCCGCCTGCTTCTCAAGCTCGGCTGGCGGGGACGAGAGATAGGGCCTTCTCGGTGGTGGCTCCTCGGCTGTGGAACGCCCTTCCTACGGACATTAGACTAGCACCATCTCTAATGGTATTCCGGAAAAAGGTGAAGACCTGGATGTTTGTGCAGGCGTTTGAGTAATTTAGTGCAATCTGGTAATGGAACATAGGAATGGAACAATGGACGACGAACCTGGACTACGCTTGGATGATGAGAAGATTGGGTACGGTTGTTTTTTGTAATAATTGTGCATTGTAATTGCTTATTGGTAATTTATGGATAATGTGTTAAGTCAATTGTTATATGTTGTATGGAACCACTGCTGTTTCTACTGTTTCTACTGTTTGTGAACCGCTGTGAGTCGCCTTCGGGCTTGAGATACAGCGGTATATAAGCAAAGTAAATAAAGAAGTAAAGAAATAAAGAATTGCAATAATAATAATTCCAATAAGAATTGCAATAATAATAATAATTACAATAATAATTCCAGTAAGAATTGCAATAATAATAATTCCAATAAGAATTGCAATAATAATAATAATAATTACAATAATAATTCCAATAAGAATTGCAATAATAATAATAATAATTACAATAATAATTCCAATAAGAATTGCAATAATAATAATAATTACAATAAGAATTCCGATAAGAATTGCAATAATTACCAGAATAAGAATTGCAATACTTACAATAAGAATTACAATAAGAATTTCAGTAATAATTACAATAAAAATTGCAATATTAATAATTTTTTTGTTGTTTTATACTATTTTAATGTTTTAACTCGTTTTATGATATTATGTGTACTGTTTTGTTGGAAACCGCCTTGAGACGCCAATTGGCTGAGAAAGGCGGTATACAAATACAGTAAATAATAAATAAATAAATTCTAATAATAATTCCAACAAGAATTGCAATAATAATTACAATAATAGGAATTGCAATAATAATTACAATGATAAGAATGGCAATAATTACCAGAATAAGAATTGCAATATTTACAGTATTAAATTCCAATAATAATTCCAACAAGAATTGCAATAATAATTACAATAATCCGAATTGCAATAATAATTACAATGATAAGAATTGCAATAATTACTAGAATAAGAACTACAAT